CGGTAAATTATCTACATGTGTTGAAAATATGTGTGCATTCATTATTGTCTTTTAGTTGGATGCTTGGTTGGCTCTTGTTCTAAAAGAGACATCTCCCCTATCTTGTTGTTTCAGAAGACGTAGGGGCACAGTCTTTGTTAAACAAACTGATTCGAAATAATCTGGTCAATACAACAAATCAAGTGGAAGTTCTTCAGAAGGATCCGAACTCTCCGCTTTACTCCGTCAAGTCTTTTGAAGAATTAAGGCTGTGAGTGAGATCTCTGTTTGTCTGTCTCGGTAGCCTAATCACTTAATATGTCATGTTTAACAGTATTGACACATGTATCTGTTGAGCGTTCCCAGCAAGGACCTGTACCATTCTCACACGTGTGTTTAAAGATGCACCGATGCACCAGTCTTTTGGGCTGATTCAGATTTCTCACTTTTCTCTTTAAGTGTGACCTGCCTGTTTTTGCAGATTGCAGTTTTCTTTCTGAGAGCTAAAACTGACCGCACATACAAGTATTCATCAATTCAAAATAGTAATTTTTTTTTTTTCCACAGTAAAGGTACTATTGCGGTATGTTTTAGGACCTTCTCATCTGAAATAACTGAAAGTAAAGTCCTCTGATACTGGAAAGAGGATAAAATAACTGAAAATAAGTTGTTGTTTTTTTACCAAACAAAAGCAGGTGCAACTGATTTATATAATAGAGCTACTGTCAGGTATTTACCCCTGTGTTTATAATGTCGCCAGATAATGTGACACAGACCCTTTTATTTTTTTCACTCATCTCCATAATTCACCTCTTAACTACGTTGATCCTTTGCTCATAAGAGGCTGCTGGTGCTCTGAGAACTGGATAGCTTCAGCTGTAGCCCTGCTTTTAGGGAAGCTTTTGCTCACACTTTACCTCAGAGAACTTTGTCTTCACTCACTTCCACACTAACACCGTAGCACGTGTCGTGAGTGTCATGCGCGACTGTCCGCGCTGCATGAAACAGGCTGGGTCATAATCAGTCAAACAGGGGGCTGATCAGCCGGTCACTGGTCCGGGCTGATTCCAGTCCCCAGCTGGTGAATCGGTGCATCTCTAGTTGTGGTGTCTCTTTTATGCCCATTTTCACCATGGTGAGTTTACACAGACTGATTGTGACTGATGCTTCACAATCCTGGCATTTATTTTATTTTTTCCTCTCTGTACAGTAAACCACAGCTGCTTCAGGGAGTGTATGGTATGGGTTTCAATCGGCCATCAAAAATCCAGGAAACTGCCTTACCGATGATGCTGGCTGAACCGTGAGTGTCCTTTAAATAATGATATGAAGACATTAGACTTACTGAATCACTTAACCCTGAATAACACTCTGATATCCATATTTATTACCACCCGTACATCTAATTTCCTGTTTCCTGTAGTCCACAGAATCTGATTGCTCAGTCTCAGTCAGGAACAGGGAAAACAGCTGCCTTTGTTTTGGCTATGCTCAGCCATGTCGATCCCAACAACAAATACCCCCAGGTGGGTGTCAACTTTCTTTACTGTACTATAAAGTCACCATTGAAATCCAAGTGATAAGCATGACTTGTCTTGGACAAAAACATTCCTCTTGTCTCTCATTGACAGACATGTGTTCTCTCTCAGTATTAATGTTTAATGTTTGCTCTCTTTTCTCGTCGTCAGTGCTTGTGTGTGTCACCCACCTATGAGCTGGCGCTTCAGACTGGCAAAGTGATTGAACAGATGGGCAAATATTACCCTGAAGTCAAACTAGTCTACGCCATTAGAGGAAATAAATGTAAGGCGCTTGTGCTTTCTGCTGTGCTGCATGTGTACTGTTATGTACCGAATTGTTGTTAGAACCTTTTGTGCGTGTATGAGCACGTCTGTCTTTTTTTTCCAGTGCAGCGGGGCATGAAACTGCAGGAACAGATAGTTATTGGCACACCTGGTACCATGTTGGACTGGTGCAGTAAATTCAAGTTTATTGATCCCAAGAAAATTAAGGTGTTTGTGCTTGACGAGGCTGATGTTATGATCGCCACGCAGGGTCACCAGGACCAGAGTATACGCATCCAGAGGTCAGCCGAAGCAAATTAAAATAAGACTTGAGAACCATGTGGCTTTTTAAAAATACTAAAATTGTGCATGTTTCATGCCTCATTTCTTTGCCACACAGGATGCTGCCCAAAAACTGCCAGATGTTGCTGTTCTCAGCCACATTTGAAGAGTCGGTGTGGAACTTTGCTCAGCGCATTGTGCCTGATCCCAACATAATCAAGCTGAAGAGAGAGGAGGAAACACTGGACACCATTAAACAGTACTATGTGTTGTGTAACAGCAAAGAAGAAAAATTCCAGGCTCTCTCTAACATCTACGGCGCCATCACCATCGCTCAGGCCATGATCTTCTGCCATGTGAGTTGATCTTTAATAAACAAAAACGGCGACTCTGGCTGAATTTTATTTCTTCTTACATAAGCTTACACATTCTTTTGCTGTTTGTCATCATTTGTTGCCAAGCTGTTCCTCTTTAATCCAGAAGTGAAAAGAGAGCTCTGCAGCATGAGCTAACTTAAACAGAATAGTCTGTTTTTTATTTAACCAGGGAAGGGCCAAACTCAAAATCCTTTTATACTTGGACTCTTTGTATACACACCTGGCATGCTGGTTAACTGACTGAAGCGCACGCTTTCCTCTGTTCAATTCAGACAAGGAAGACAGCAGGCTGGCTGGCAGGGGAGCTGTCCAGAGAAGGCCACCAGGTAGCGCTGCTTAGTGGAGAAATGCAAGTGGAGCAGAGGGCTGCAGTCATTGAACGCTTCAGAGATGGAAAGGAGAAGGTCCTGGTCACCACAAATGTTTGCGCTCGAGGTAATGATGTTCAGATGTTTGTCATATGAGTTTTATCTGTTTACATTTGAAAACACTTTTTTTTCTTTACTTTTGCAGTTATGTTAGCACAATATATATGTGGGTTTACAAAGTAAGCTGCAAAAAAATATGTTTGAGGTGTAAAGTTTGGTTTAAAAAGCTGTCTCAGCCGGAATGCAAGCTGCTAGAGATCAGCTTTAATGAATTTGGCTCTCCACTTAGGATAACCATAGGTCACCAGGATACCATACTTGCATCTGCTCACTCTGACCCATTGTATTAGAGGGAGGCAATTAATGGATTTTTGAAGGAATTGCAGATTGATTGATTTATTTTGTCCTAGGTATTATAAAAAAGGCTTGGGGTTAGTTTCTGCCCACAATATCCTGAAATTGTTTTCATACTTATTTCAGTTTTCAGCAGTTTTTCTAAATTAATTCTACACTGTACGACCTAACATGCAATTTAGATGAAGCCTTAATCCACCGCCAAAGATTATCATACACTGTATGTAAAAGATGGAAATGGCCTCCAGAGTCAATGTGTTACTGCCTTTAAACCTGCACAAAAAGGTCAGTTACTGACCATGTGACTCTTTTTGTTATGATATAGTCTCAGTGGATAGTTTTATTGGATTGATTTAAGGTGGGTTTTTTTTTTTTTGTGATTGACAGGTTTATGCTTCATGAGTGTGCCGTGTACTCATTCATTCTGTGCTCAATATAAATAAATAAAAATCAAAGACACTTTTTACAGCAGTGCAAGTGTGAATGTGTTTGATGTCAGACTGTGTGAAATTAATTGGATTTCTACAGTCAAATTAAAATATTGGTGTCCTCCACATGTACATTGTTTTCTAGTAACTCTTTATTCCTCCCATCTTCTTTACAAACAGGTATTGATGTAGAGCAGGTTTCTGTGGTGATCAACTTCGACCTGCCAATTGACAAGGATGGTAACCCTGACAACGAGACATACCTGCACAGGATTGGCCGCACAGGTCGATTTGGGAAAAGGGGACTGGCCATTAATATGGTGGACAGCAAGATGAGCATGGACATCCTCTACAGGATCCAGGAGCACTTCAGTAAGCATCTGTTTAAAATAAAAACAAAACGTGTACTTACCCCTTCTTCCAGCCAAATCTCAGCCCCTCTCTGAACCCCTCTCTTCTGTGTGCTCTTCCTCTGCAGATAAAAAAATTGAAAAACTGGACACGGATGATCTGGATGAAATTGAGAAAATTGCCAGCTAAGAAGGTGTGTTCACGCGACGGACGCTCGCTTCCCTTCCCCACGTCTTTGCTCTCCAAGGACTGTACGCTCCTACAATTTTATTGCTTTTATTATTATTTTTTTTTAGCTGTCGGAGAAAAGAGCAAAACCACACACAGCATATGTTTACATGTGGATATATCTCCTCTCAGACACGTGTTTTGTAAGTCTCTGATACATACCCTATTTCACTCTTTGTACTCCTTTAAATAAAGTGTATGAGTTTAATGATGTGTATTGTGATGCTGTAAAAGCAGGCATAGTCGACTCATTATTATTTTTAAATGGGGGGAGGGGCGGGACTTTTTTTTTTTCTTCTTTCAATTTTAAGCCACTGGTGGCTGTAGTGGTGGCATGATACAAGCTATTCTGTAAAGAGATTCACAAAAACCCTAAGAGAAAAACAAAAATACTCATTTTATGTGCCACAAATGTTTTAAAATATAACTGAATGTAACCGTATCATGTGGACTATTGCAGCTTTTATCGTGCTTTGTTATGACTACCAAAATCAGTACAAAGGGTGAAGTTGGGTATGCTGCTCCGAGTTGTAGTTTTAATTGATTGTGTCATTGAAATGGTGATGGTTGGGGTTCAAGGGTCTATGCAAACTTATCAACCTGTGATAGCTACTATCGAACACTTATCAACCTGTATTCACGTGACACAAATTAATCCTGAAATAACCTCAGCTTTAGCATCAGGGTGTGTAGTCTAGTCAAATGCCAAAAAAAAAGGCTGCCTAGAGTGATAACGCATTACTAACTCCAAGTCATGGACATTTAGATGTTTCTGTGTTTAGTCTGTCATCGGCCAACCACACATCTCACACGCATGCTATTTATATCCTTTTTTTTCCTTTTTTTTTAAAATTTAAACATGAGGACGAGCTTGGCGTCACTGCTGAGCATTAATCATTAGTCTTCTTCCTTCATCGCTCATAAAAATCAGATTTTTAACTGAAAATGTGACCATTACGGTGATGTTTCCTTTGTGTATCACTGTCCCCACTCAATCGTTACAATCAGGGTTTCAAGTTTGACTTTAGCTCAGCTACATTTCTTCACCCAGACTGTGCTGTTATTAAGGATTGTGAGTTTAAAAAAAAATTACGCAATGCCTTCCTCAAGTGCATTATATACATATGGTTTTGTTATTAATATTTAAGCTATTGGGCTTACATTTCTGACTGACACTTGAAATTTTGATTATATATTGAATTATGGGCGTCTTTAGGATGTGTGAATTATCTTCTTGAAACCAAATGCTGAATTGACTTGAGGACCTATGCTAATCAGATTTACTATGTTGCTCTGACATGGTCGCCTGGATAGGAAATGTGTACTTGTGTACATATTTACAGAAAAATTGTTTAAAAAAATAGTTACTGAATTTTTGAGATTGTCACTTCTAAGAAGTGCAGAAACATTCCTCACGAGGTTCGATTTTGACAGACGCAGCACTTCAAATCAGTTAAGCTTGCAACAGTTGGGTGACTGTACAAAAATCAAGAAAAACAAATGTGTGATGTTTGGTGTATTTGATCACTGCACTGGAAGATTAAGATCGGTGACTGGTCAATCTAAACCTTCTACAAACCTCATCTGGCTCCCAGCTGCACAGAGAAGACTGTCGGTGGTAGTGCGGATTTTATGGACTATTTATGGACAACTTGATGAAAAATCACTTAATGAACACATGCAGCCAAATTGGAAGGAAGTGACCTCAAGCGTGAGAATCCGTAGGAATGGTCTGTGAAGACTTTTGGGTAAAGAATAAGTGTATGCAGTTTTATCGGACACTCGGATGTATACGTTATCAGTGAGTGTGTGCACTTTGTTGATCCATAATGTAACACCACTGTACGAGACCCATGGACACAAAGCAGTTTTGGCTATAGAACGTCACACTTTTGCCCACATGTATACCTTGTTAGATAATTTTCAATAACCTACAAAACTCATAATTGTACACGTTGCCTAATCGGGTTTAAGGCAAGTAGCCTGTTGTAACCTAAAGATCTATGTAGACAATGACAGGTTCAAGGTGTGTGGTCTTCTGTAGCTGAGCTGCGTTCATGGACACAGTTATGTACTCTTAATATGTTGAATTAAAAGAACATCTAGCTGTTCATATGTATGTCCCCTTAATGCTTATTCATATAGGTCGAACTAGAGTACAATCACTGTTTTTAGTACACGAGTGAACACAGCATATTATACGTTAAACCACAAACTTTATTATATTCGTTTTATAAGGACATTTGGAAATGCATACAAATAGAATATTCAAGTAGCATCAATCCTTCCTGGTGGAGGTGAGCAGTTCCTCTGACAGCTGTGGCGAAAGCTGCAGGTCTGAGGAGACAAACAGAACTTGAGACAGGAAGAATTCATAAAAATGTTCCTTTTGTTTTCTTTTCCCAAAAGATGAAAATATGAGTAAAAATATTTTTCCTATCCATCAGTTTTCTGCTGCTTATCCAATTCCAACATTGCATGGAGGCTGGAGGGTATCCTAGTTACCATAGAGTACACATAATGGAAGAAATGTTGCTTTATAAGCTGGAATAGTTTCAAGTGCGCCCCCCCCCCCAATCCTGATAAGGATAAGTGGAAGACAATGGATGGAAGATTGCTTTATCATTTGAAGCAGTGATCATATGTTCTGTTAAATTTTATAGCTTTCTCAGAATATGTTTTCATTTTTAACAGAGAATGTAGACAACAGGAAGCTGCCAATTTACACCTCGTCCAACTCCTTCCTGCTGGAGTTGGTTTTTATTCTCACCTGTATCCCTGTAGTCCACTCTGGTGAGGAAAAGGCCGTGGGCTGGAGCAGCCATACCCTGTGGGTAGGCCAGAGAGTCTCTCACTTCCAGTATTTTCTTCAGCTGGGGTACTGAGAGCAGCCCCTGGCCCACTGCCACCATTGCCCCCGTCATCCTCCGCACCTGGAGGAAAAGGCCAGATAAAGAGGTTTTACACAGAAGCATGCACAGCTTGCTTTAAGAGATTTAATGTTTACTTTATTCTAAATAAAGTTTCAGTCACCACCAGCAGATGTCGCTACTGGCTCGTAATCTCACATGCACAGAAATAGAAATATAACTTGAAAGAAAATCTGAAGAAGATTATCAACAAACCTGCTTATAGAGAAAAGATTTACTTGTGAAAGTCAGCTCCCAGAATGGTATCTCTCTGGAAAAAGGAAATAAAGTTTGTGTCTTAGCCACATTCAAAGCACTACACATGAAATGTTAGATTAATGAGACTAAGGCCAGCAGGCATGAAGTCTACATGGAATCACGGAGAAAATATGTAAGGATAAAGAAAAGTTAAATGTTGCCACAGGAGTTGAAACATCGCACTGCTGTCTAAAGCACATTGTGAATGGTTGTCAGATGTAATGTAATATTATTTAGTCTGATAAAAACCACTAAGCAAGAGTGTGGATCTAAAGCACACCTACTCATTTACAGTGGGGCAAAAAAGTATTTAGTCAGCCACCGATTGTGCAAGTTCCCCCACCTAAAATGATGACAGAGGTCAGTAATTTGCACCAGAGGTACACTTCAACTGTGAGAGACAGAATGTGAAAAAAAAAAATCCATGAATCCACATGGTAGGATTTGTAAAGAATTTATTCGTAAATCAGGGTGGAAAATAAGTATTTGGTCACCTCAAACAAGGAAAATCTCTGGCTCTCACAGACCTGTAACGTCTTCTGTAAGAAGCTTTTCTGTCCCCCACTCGTTACCTGTATGAATGGCACCTGTTTGAACTCGTCATCTGTATAAAAGACACCTGTCCACAGCCTCAAACAGTCAGACTCCAAACTCCGCCATGGCCAAGACCAAAGAGCTTTCGAAGGACACCAGGAAAAGTATTGTAGACCTGCACCAGACTGGGAAGAGTGAATCTACAATAGGCAAGCAGCTTGGTGTGAAAAAATCAACTGTGGGAGCAATCATCAGAAAATGGAAGACATACAAGACCACTGATAATCTCCCTCGATCTGGGGCTCCACGCAAGATCTCATCCCGTGGGGTCAAAATGATCATGAGAACGGTGAGCAACGATCCCAGAACCACACGGGGGACCTGGTGAATGACCTGCAGAGAGCTGGGACCAAAGTAACAAAGGTCACCATCAGTAACACACTACAACGGCAGGGAATCAAATCCCGCAGTGCCAGACGTGTTCCGCTGCTGAAGCCAGTGCATGTCCAGGCCCGTCTGAAGTTTGCCAGAGAGCACATGGATGATACAGCAGAGGATTGGGAGAATGTCATGTGGTCAGATGAAACCAAAGTAGAACTTTTTGGTATAAACTCAACTCGTCGTGTTTGGAGGAAGAAGAATACTGAGTTGCATCCCAAGAACACCATACCTACTGTGAAGCATGGGGGTGGAAACATCATGCTATGGGGCTGTTTTTCTGCCAAGGGGACAGGACGACTGATCCGTGTTAAGGACAGAATGAATGGGGCCATGTATCGTGAGATTTTGAGCCAAAACCTCCTTCCATCAGTGAGAACTTTGAAGATGAAACGAGGCTGGGTCTTCCAACATGACAATGATCCAAAACACACCGCCCGGGCAACAAAGGAGTGGCTCCGTAAGAAGCATTTGAAAGTCCTGGAGTGGCCTAGCTAGTCTCCAGACCTCAACCCCATAGAAAATCTGTGGCGGGAGTTGAAAGTCCGTGTTGCTCGGCGACAGCCCCAAAACATCCCTGCTCTCGAGAAGATCTGCATGGAGGAATGGGCCAAAATACCAGCTACTGTGTGTGCAAACCTGGTAAAGACCTATAGTAAACGTTTGACCTCTGTTATTGCCAACAAAGGTTATGTTACAAAGTATTGAGTTGTATTTTTGTTATTGACCAAATACTTATTTTCCACCCTGATTTACGAATAAATTCTTTACAAATCCTACCATGTGGATTCATGGATTTTTCTTTCACATTCTGTCTCTCACAGTTGAAGTGTACCTCTGGTGCAAATTACTGACCTCTGTCATCATTTTAGGTGGGGGAACTTGCACAATCGGTGGCTGACTAAATACTTTTTTGCCCCACTGTATTCCTCTGAGTGAAAAAAATATTACTAATTAAATAAAAAATACAACAAAATTTTAAAAAAAGAAAATAATCCAGCCTCATATCTTTACATCTTAAGTCACTCTTGTGCAGCAGTGCTGTTCCCGCCTGTGTGAATATAACTGATGTGACATTCATGCCAGGCATCAAATGAAGCCTGGGTTTGTCATCATGCACAGATTTGTTTAAATGTCACACACTAAATATGGCACTGCAGCTTAGGCCCAACAGGATTATGTGTGATGCCACATAAAATATTATTATTATTATTATTTTGCCCCTGCCCTCAAAAGGGAAAAAAGAAAGGAAGGAAAAAAAAACTCTCCCTGATTCTTATTTTGGGAAGGACAGGGTGAACTAAGGAAACAGGCACATGGGAAGAATTGGGTCAAATGCAAATTTGACTCAGTGCTTGCTGTCTGATTACATTCGACATGTAGGAAATGTAGAGACAGATTTATAGAGCAGGGCTTTTAGCCCGTGGACTTGGAGGTCAGTATCTTCAGATGAGAATAAAGCACTGCTGGGCCTCTTGTTGCACATTTGCAGCGCTGTGTTATTATTATAAAGCCAGGGTGCTTTAAGCTGGTAGGAAGCCAACAGTAACTCAAAGAAACACTCATTATAACCAAAGTTTGCAGAAGAGCACAAAGCATGTGGAACTGTGAAGCAGATGGGCTCCAGCAGCAGAAGACCGCACCAGCTGCCCCTCCTGTGAGCTAAGAAGAGTAAACGGAGGCTAAACCACAACTGGACAAGAAAAGATTGGAAAAAAATGTTGTCTGGTCGGATGAATCTTTATTTCTACTCCAACAATCAGGTATTGGAGCAAACCATATAAAATTGGTGTAATGGTGTGAGGGATATTTTCTTTGTACACTTTGGGACCCTTAGTACCAACTCAGCACTGCAGCTACCAGAACAGCGTACGCGTCTTAGATCATCAAAGCTCAGATCATTTCACCCTGTTTACTGAACATGACAATGAGTTGAGTGTACTCAAATGATGTCCGCAGTCACCAGATCTCAACCCAAAAGAGACCCTTTGGGATGTGCTGGAAATGGAGATCCACATCACGGATGTGCAGTCAAGAAATCTGCAGCGACTGTGTGATGCTGCGGTTTTCTGCTCAGTCTGAATTTTTAGTTGTTAATTTTGCTCAGATGGGCGGACAAGCTGGTAGCATTGACATGATAAGTCAGTTAACTACTTTATTATTTATTAATTGACTTAATCAAGCAGTAAGCGTTATGCTAGCTTTATGATGTCCTTTATGAACAACGGTGCTTTGTCCTTAACGCTAGCATGCTAATGATTATAACTGTAACAGGACAACAGCTAGGTGCTCTGTTAAGCTGTGCTTAATGTAATCATATGAATTTTTGTACACCTACCAAATTTTATGGGATTGTGGCAACACCTCTCGACTGGATTAGATGCTGGTGTGGCTTAAACTAATGGTAAACAAATTAGGGATGTCACACTTCCTGCTGCGGCACGGTTTGAATTCTGCATAGATTAATTTCAAAATGTGAAGACTTATTTTAAAATGCACACCTACCAAATGTTAGCATGTTAACGTGAAAACAGAATCAAAGCTACACAAGGCCCTAAAATAAATCTCTGTTCACTTATGCATGAAAATAAGATCAAATATTTCGGGAGGTTAGAAAAAAGCCCTTTTTTTCCACTTTGAATGGAGACCAAAGTAGTCAGCCTCACAGACCACATCTCCCCGTTTTAGGATCAAAAATTTAGTTGAACCTTAGACTCCTCAATAATTCATCAGTCAGTTTCTTTTCATTTTATCACCGTTTCTTAGAATAGTGACCCTCATGAAAAAATAAACACAGCTCAGCTGTAGGCTTTCAAACCCCGACAGAGACCAATGTGGGCCACATTGGATCATTCATGGGAATTCTGCAGAGGGTAGAAGAAGGGAAAATGGTTTTGTGTGGCAAAACTGCAACCGCAGACAATTGCGTGCAAATATAATGTGAAATATATTACAGCTGTGGAAACCTTGTTCCCACAGCCTCCTGGTGCACCTCGTGCATTGGGGATATTACTCTGAAGCAGTCCATCAGGGTCCATATTGTGTACTACATTTGCAAGGCAAATAATTAATGCCCATGAAAATGGAATTTGGCAGCCAGAGTAACCCCCATAGATGTGTAACCTCCCAGAGCCCACATGGCCCCCACTCGCTCTTATCTCCCTCTTTCTCCATATCCACTTATGAAGGATCCTCATTGTCTAAAGCACACAAACCTGCTTAACATACAAGCACAGACAGCACATTAGCAAACAGAAACTCTACCTGTATGATCTAACAGCCACACCTACTGGTTTGTCAAAGGGCATTAACAGTTGTTCTGTGGTTGAATCACATCTCATGCTCGAGCTTTGGTAATAAGAAGCAAATATTTTACAGTTATGTGTTATACATAATTTGTCTGGAAGTAGTTACAAAAGCTGCAGAGCTGCTAACAGATGCATTTTGGCTTGCTGACCGTAACTGGACTGCATTAGTTTTTTCTAACTCCATGCAAGAAAACATGAAACTGTATTCAAAATGTAAAATCTTACATAAAGTTTCTCAAATCTATTTTTTATGTAAGTATTTTTAGCTTTTTAAGTTGCTTATTTACACTTAGCTAACTACACTAGTTTGTAACACATAGCTAGTATCAGCTTTGTAATGTATTTTTGCACCAACAGGTGATTCCCTAAAAGTAATTAGCCAAAAAATTGGCATATCTTGGCACGGTGTGCAGTGTGTCCTTTGTGAAACTGGACATGTGGAGGAGAAAAGAAGAAAGGACGTGCCAAAAAAGAAAAGTATCTATAGCAGATTAACAGAATCTGAAAGTCATATCCTCAAGAAATAGAAAAAAAAAATCCAGCAAAGACCTGACACAGCACCTGAGAGATGAATCTGGCCCGTCAGTTGATCCATCTACTGTTTACCAAAGCCTCATCAGAAATTTAATCCAAATTTGTCATTACTTGTTCAAATTGTTGGCAACATGTACGGAGGAGGAAGTCAGAAGTAAAGTACAACAGTGAGTGTCTAAAGCCATCTGCAAAATATAATGGAGGCTCTGTCATGGTTTGGGTCAACATTTCAGCCAGCAGTGTTGGAGATTTGTCAGAACTGATGGAAACATGACTGCAGAAAAGCGCCATCAGGCTTTGGTCCACTGTGTAATAGCATCTGGAAAGCAAATGACTGGTGACAGCTTCATTTCTCAGGATGACAACTATCCCAAACACACCGCCAATGCAATAAAAGTGTACCTGAATAGAAAAATACACAATGAAACACAGTCTGACCAGAGCCTGGACCTCAACATTATTGAAGCAGTGTGGGATCATCTTGACAGAGAACAGAACACAATTCAACCAACATCCAAAGAAGAGCTTTGAATGTCCTTCAAGATGCGGGGAGAACTATTCCCGAAGACTACTTAAAGGAATTACAGGGATGTTTGCCTGAGAGAGGTAAAGGTGTTTGTACCAAATATTGACTTTGTGGTTAAAAAGCTGCATAAAATTGTACAAACCTTGTTTTTTGCCTTACATAATGTATCCAATTCCATAATAACTTGGTCGTAGGTAATGTGGTCTCAATACATACTGTGGCCTACCTGTGGAAGTGAGCATATGCAAAGGAGTTTCCCTGCTGTATACTGATCACATCCATCGTCTTCACAGGATTTTTGAAAGGCAGATCAGAGTTGACGGCCCTAAAGCTGCTGAAATCGTGAGTCCCAACCAGTAGGGAAGCTGCCTCGTGCATAGCGTCCACGTTTAGCTCTCTGATGAAAGACAGAATAAAGAAAAACACTTTTTATACAAGTGACCATTTACAGTATTACACTGCATTTGAAAACCGGGAAAATGTGAAGATTCTGAGGTCATCAGAGCTCCTGAATCAAGATTCGAAAGCTAACTCCTGATATTGCAGCGTCACTCAAGAGTGACCTGGCTGAACAGCAAGGTCAGCCACAAATGTACACATGAAGTACATCTTTTCAGAACTCCATGAATAATTTAGTGGAAAACTTATGTAACAGAAAGATAATGCCACGTGAGCGAGCAGAGCATGCCCACGACCAGCTCATTTAAGGCAGAGAACCAGAGCGAGCCGGTGATTAGATTCTCTCCAGTCTCACGCTTCATTTGCTGCTTAAATATGATCTGACAAAGAGAGAGGGAGGAGAGAGAGTGAGCGGGAAAAGGGAGAAGTGTGCTGAGTAATAAAACGTTTAACATAAGAATCAGGAATGAATGAAGATGTGCAAAAAATATCTTAACGGTCTAATTAACAAATCATTAAGTCCTTACTTTTCGCTATGTTGGGAGGGGGGCAGCTGTGACCAGTTGGTAAAATGGAAGGAAGACAGAACTGACTGATGACCAATGATAACGTGGTCACTGAATTCCAACATTCAAATGATCTTAAAAAAATGTTTTAAAAAAGTAACTTTTTTTTATTGCAGTGGGAGAAATGGAGCGAGTGTGATGACGCTGGAGAGGCGCATCAAAGAGAGGAAAAGAGAGACGCTGCTGAGGCTGAGACGCTCAGGGGTGTGAAGAGCAACATGAATGCTGAACATGAGAGAGCGATAACAAAGCAGAAGATCCAGAGAAAGAAGTTAGTGAAGGAAGGAAGGAGAAAAAGAAAGAGATTGAGAGAAAAAAAATGGACAGAAGCAGAAAAGAAGGGAAAGAAAGGGTGAAATGCGTGGGTGTTGTTCTGCACGTATAAAAGCCCGCAGCTTATCTTGCCCTACTTTTCCCCAAAAAAGTGAGGAGAAAAAAAAGATACAAACGCTCAAACACAAACTAAAATGTTTCTCTTTGTGGCCAGTTTTTCCAATCACAGCTACAAGAACCTTGTGTAAGCTTCGAAGCCCACGCCATTTAATCTCTTTCCTACATTTTACACTCTATGCATCCTCTCTCCTCTCCTCTCCTTCCTCCTCTTTTGTTTGTATTTTGCGCATCAACTCAGATAAAACACTTCGTTTGGCTGTCTCTAATGTGCACCTCCTGCATGGTGCATGTGGACTATTCATGTGCTCAATGTGACATTTTTCTGGTCTGAGTCTCCATTACACAGAAAGAGTGTGTCTCTGCTTTTACACATATACACAGTCAGATTCAGCTTCAGACTGAGCCCTTATTTATTTATTTATTTTTAGGGCAGACATCATGCGCATGCACACTAACACATGAAAAAGAAAAAGACATGACTGAGAAAAGGGAGGGGTGGTGCATAAACTGGGATAACTCACGTGTTGCGGAGGCTCCAGCACAGATCCCAGTCTGTGAGGGGAAGGAGAGAGTGGTGGGAGATTCCTAACGCTATTCGGTAGACGTAGGTCCGAGACTGGGCACGGAAACGGGCATGGAAGTCATGAGGAACACGGTGGGCACGGGTGATCCTGAAATAAAATGGACAAAGAGAAGTGAAACCTCGGATTTAGGATGAAGAAACTTGAAATCTGCACATTCATAAATATTCTTATACATCTGCACTGAAGCCTGGAGGTGATCTTTAAACATTCAGTCTGGCTGTTCAGTGAGAACAAAACTATCTCTGATTCTTTCTTTGTAGAGGCAGTCCCATAGCAAAGATGGTGTCAATGCTCCTTTTTGTACTCCCAGCTAGAAAAACTGTGTACAAGCCATGCTCCAAAGTGCCAGCATTGCAGCTTTTAACACAAAGACACACCAACAGAGTCCTAAAAAGGCTGCCAAGAGCACTGAAAAGCCAGAGCTTATTTTAACACAGTTAACATCAGAGCAGAATCTCAGGCTGAGCCTCTCTGATGCGATTCCAGCAGGATAACACGAGACACTTCCTGTGTTTTTGCGCGCAGAGGCAAGGACTGATGTAATAAGTAACAGACTGGATCGATTCCTGATTCTGCGAGACGTCCTAAAGTAGACTGAAGAATGACACTGGCATTTCTGGCTACAGGTTCTGCACGTACAATTGAATTACTCTGCTGTGTGCAGTGTCGTTACTAAAACAATGAACCAAACTGAGATTTACAGAGAGTTTGAACAAAAAGGGGATTCCCCCCCCCCTTTTAGTAGTTTCAAGCTGTCCTCGTGCCTGATTGATGCTACAGCAGTAATGAAAATATATGAATCATTTTTGATTAAGATCAAGAATTTATTGTCAGATTGCACAGAAATTCACTATTTCTATCGATTTAATGCAATGCAGGGCAAATCTTTCCTCCTTTGTCTCATCACAGTATTACAGTCAGTTATAACAACAGCTGCTATGCATACTATTACATTTAATCAATAGCCAAGCTTATAATCTGCACTGACACATACTCAAAAAGCCATGTTTTACCATTTAACCCTTGTATGGTGTTCGGGTCTGTGAGACCCGTTTTCAGTTTTTCTCAAAAGAAAAATTAAACAATGAATTATTTTTTCAACCTGAAATTCATTGGCTTTGGCTTATTTTCTGTGAAGAACATAAATCCGAACTAATTTTCAGTGACCTCATACTGTACCTCCCCCCACGCATTTACATTACATACAAGGTGTTCGGGTCCACTGGACCCAGGTCTAATAAAAGTGTTGAAAGTGCAGGTCCTGTGTTCCCACACTCTGTCCTCCTCCTTTCTGGTGCTGCTGATAGTGTTTTCTTCCCCTCCTGCTCCGCACAAAGTTGCAACATTGTTGAAAATTCAACTATCAACACCGTCTGCTCTGACATTCCCGCACATTTTACCCTCTTTCTTGATCCAAATTTTATTTTCTCATACCCTGTCCCTCCTGCAAATTAGGGGCATAATACTATAAATAAGACTTTGCCAGTGTGGTTCTTTATCACAACTGATCAAGATGGCAAAAGATTATCTGCTGCGAGGGCCATCCAATTGATTTTGGAAGAGAGAGGGGCTTCGGATGATGATGTTGACAAAGAGGTTTCAGAATATTTCACATTTCTGAAAATTCAGAGTCTGACAGTGACTTTGAAGAAGAGGATGAGGTTGAGCACCATTTAGTAACAAAACGAAGACGAGTACCCCATCTGCAGCCAGCTCCAGGACCAGAACAAGCCCACCAGACAGCAAGTGAAGAAATATGGATGTCAATAACTGGTGAAATTGAATGGTCTTCTTGCCCAAGAAATGAGCCACCCTGCAGAGCTGTTACTGTGATAAGCCAGGGCCAACACGGCTGACAGTTACTCATGTGCAGGACATCAAGTCTTCATTTGAGCTTTTCATCCCAGATTCCATCCAGAAAATTATTCTGGATTGCAGTAATCTAGAAGGAAGGTGTGTTTTTGGAGAGAGGTGGAAGGAGATGGACCAAATTCATCTAAGAACCCCAAAGGCCTACTTTGGGGTTCTTATCCTTGCAGGAGTTTTCAGGTCCAAAGGGGAATCCACAGAATCCCTGTGGGATGCAGAAACCGGCAAGAACCTTTCCGTGCATCAGTGTCTCTGGAAAACTTCCACAAAATTTCCAGGATTATCCGTTTTGATAACCGAGACGACAGACCAGCTCGACGGCAGAGAGACAAGCTAGCTGCCATCAGGACAGTGTGGGATAAGTGTGTGCACCACCTCCCCTGTTTTACAACCCTGGGCCTAATGTCACCATTGATGAGCAGCTGATCCCATTTAGTTGTGAAACATATTGCTTCACGTGTAAATGTGTTGTGTCTTTCCACTCACTCCACTTGATTATAACTGATTTATTTTTTTTATAACATTTTATAAAAAAAAAAAAAAAAACGAGAAGCACATTAATTCATAAATGTGATCTAACAAAGGTAAAGGGAAAAAATTAACCATGTTTGCTGTTCATATGGCTTGTAATTGGGATGAAGTAAACATCTGTTGAGTAATTTAACATAAAATTGTTTGATAGTGTTAATTTGGAAAGCCAAAACTCTAGCGGGTCCACCAGACCCATGAACACTGGCTGAGTAACAAAAATATGAACACCACACAAGGGTTAAGAGACGTAATATTTAACTCGCAACCACTGGCCATTTTATTAAGCACACGTTGCGAGCATCAAGGTGGACCCACTTTTGTCTTTAGAGCTTCTTCATTCTGATGCCGTTTGAACTTCACGATGTCAGCAGCGCTGTGAAAAACGACTTCTCCTTGTTAGTGATTTCATGCTTGCTTCCTGATTTACACACTTACAAGTTTCAGATCATCAAACAGCTTTTATTATTTGACAAAGCTAACCTGAGTAAATGCAGTTTTTAAATGATGATTTCATTTATTGAGGGAAAAAAGCTATCCAAAGCTACCTGGCTCTATGCAGAAACAAGTCCAGCAAACCACGGCGAGAGCCATTATCCAGAAATGGGAACAACTTTCCCAGCCAACCAGTTATTATGTTTAGGAACCAATTTTTTCCCCACATAGGGCCTTTTTTTTTTTTAAATTAACAAACGAGGGTCATCATCTAAAAACTGCATTTTGTGTTTACTCTTTTACCTTTGTCTAATATTTAAATTTATTTGATGATCTGAAGCAAAATTAGCAAATCCCAGGGCAAATACTTTTTCACAGCACTTTATATGCTTAATTGCACGGAGTTTATGCCAGTTACTGATTAAACAAGCAGCTAAACAGGTGTGGCTAACAAAGTGCCCAATGAGTATTTATAGCTGTTACAGCGGTTCCGCTTGCTAAAATTTGCGATTTAGATGTAAAACCAAATAACACCTAAAGCTGATGTCAATGTTCGTCTTGCAAGCTTTTGTTCATGTACCGAAAGCACCGCACAACAAATGTATTCTAATTCATGTTAATTCATCTTGTTCCACAACATATAAGAAGGCAAAGATGTAATAATTTACACTAATAATGACAATAAAACAAGCGGCTCCATATTGCACAAGGTTTACACATTTGCCTGGTTCAATCCTGGTGACACAGATCCCGCTGGGCTTATCTCAAGGAGGGCATCTGGCATACAAACCTGCCAAATCAAATATGTGGAGCTACCTGCTGTGGTGACCCCCTTGACCCCTTTTAATAATAAAACACTTATAATTACAATACTGTGACAGATGAGGTTCCTTAATTCATGTCTCTGTAACCTTCAAGAACAAAGAGCTGCATTCACCTGCATCAGTGTAAAAAGGACTGCACAAAGCACATTAGCACCCTATAGTGTTTGATCACATGTTTGTGCCAGCACACAGAGTACGCATTCAGTCACGCATGTGCTTGAGAATGTGTGCGACGGCAATCGGTATCTACACATGTGTATGTCTATGTAAGCGTGTGTTTGTGCGCAACCGGGGAAACTAGGTTAGGTTTCCAGGGGAGGAGATTGGGTGTGACACGTGGCAGAGGAAACCCTTGCATCTGCCTTCAGCGGCCGCACCAATGTGAAGTGACAGCCTTTAGATGGCCTCCAAACCATACGCACACACACACACGTAAAATTTTCATTAGCAGTGTACAAAGCATGGTGTCACACATTTGGGAACTGGGGCATTGTTTAGCATGGCACTATTTTGCTATTCAGCAGTTTCCTTTTATGCAAAAAGAGCCGGTCGTTTTAGGCTAATTGAGGCCAATTTTCACAGCAGCTCAGAAGACAAATGAAGCTGAAGGAGAAGAGAGATTTTTTACAGTGTGCAGGCTGTGCTCAAATCTCGCCTTGGCTCTCTGTCTCTGGAAGCAGCAGACGAGCCGTATCGTCATTGTAGCTGTAACAAAAGCTCTTCCCGCTGTGCAAGATGGGAAAAGATAGTTTGGGATGTCAGATCTGACACCACAAACTGCTTTTCTTTCACATCAACAGTAAAACGTTCTATCTAAAACATATGAAGTGTTTTTGTGTATGAAACACTTTTACATTTTAAGTGTCAGCTGAAAACAAAAAGTGTATATAGAGTGACGAATGATGCAGTGTGTATCCACGTGTGTGCATGTGCGTGCTAAACAGATGCTATACACCAAAAAAGCAGAGCAAGGATAATCCTTTCTAACCTTCTCTCTGCAGGTTTGGGGATTAGCAGTTTCTCTCTCCCCTCTTTCTTTCTCCCAGCGTGCGCTGTTCAAACTCACTCTCTTTATTCAGACTCATCTTTCCACGCCCTCTCTCACTGGCACTGACTGCATTTACCCAATACCATCTCTTTATCTATTGCTTTGTTCTGTACTTCTTCTCTCCAATCCTGACTAAGGAACAGAATGCCACAGCAGCCCAAACCAAAACAGCCTTAAGCAAACTATGGCTTTGAATAATGTAAATGTATGTAATGAAGGGATTACAAGGGGAGGAGATGAAGAAAACACAGGAAAAAAAACGAGTCGGCAGATACTCGTTTGCAGCAGTATTTAAAGATGCCCTTTTCCATTACATATTCAACAGGTGAACTTATGGCATTTCACCACAGCTATGTATATCCCAACTGTTGAGGCAGATGTTTAAGTCAGTCATACTTCTTTCTGGGATTTATTTACCACTGTATGCCCCTCAGGATATGTATCTGTGTATCTACGCTCAACACGTACTGCTGCTCCCTGCTCGTTATCATAAATATCTAATCAGCCAATCAAATGGCAGCAAAAGGCATACAGACATGATTGAGATGACCTTTTGAAGTTCAAGCATCATAATTGGGAGGGTAAGTGATTTATGTGACTTTGAAGGTAGTATGGTTGTTGGTGCCAGACAGGCTGGTCTGAGTATTTATGAAACTGCTGAGATTTTCCTGCACATCCATCTCTCGGGTTTACAGTAAATGGTTCAGAAAAGATCAAATATCCAGGAAGCAGAGGTTCTCTGGGCAATATTGACTCAGTGATGTCAGAAAAGCATTGCCAGACTGCTTTAAACTGTCCGGAAGGCAACAGTAACCAATATAAACACTTGCTACAAGCAGAAAATGTATGAGCACAACCCTTTGAACCCTGCAGCAGATGGCCTACAGCAGCAGAAGACCACACCAGGTCTTACTACTCTGAGCTAAGAACAGGAAACTGAGACTACAACTCAAACAGCCTCCTCTGAATTGGACAACAGGTGACTGAAAAACATTGCCTGGTCTGATTTCCGCTTTGATTCAGATGGTAAGGTCAGAATTAGCTAGACACAGCATGAAAGAGTGGATCCTCTATGGTGGTTTAATGGTGTGGGGAATATTTTTGACAGACTTTTAATACCATCTGGGCATCATTTAAACACCACAGCCAACCTGAGTATCGTTGCTTTTATGCTTTCATGACCACAGTGAACTCTTCTTCAGATGGCACAAACCTCAAACCATCACAAACTGGTTTCTTTAGCATGACAATGTGTTCACTGTACACAAATAAGCCCCGCAGTCCCCAGATCTCAATCCAATAGAGCACCTTTGGGATGTGATGGACTGAGAAACTCTCATCATGGATGTGCAACTGATAAACTCTGCAATAACTGTGTGATGTTTACATATCAATATGGACCAAATTGCTTCCAGCACCTTGTTGAATCTACGCTTGAAGAATTAAAGCAGTTCTGAAGGCAAAAGGGACTCTAACCTGGTACTAGCAAGGTGTACCTAACAAAACAACCAGTGAATGTACGTCTGCATATGTTTGGCCATATCCTGTGTGTCTCCATAGTAAACATTTCTATTTTTATTTCTCATTGGTGTTATTTATGGAGCAGTCAATCAGGTTAAATTGTGCCAATTATAAAAATTCATAATAGCTTTTTGAAAACTATTTTGATCAGGCAAAAATAATGCCAGGAATGGTTTCTATTTATTAAAAAGTACAGTGCAGTTAATGAATAAAAATCCTGCTTGGTTTGACCACCTATTGCCAACAACAGAGAACACACTGGCACTTGCACACTGTTTGTCAAGCTACTTGACAGGTCAGTTGTTACAAGATGGCAACACCATCTATCAGAGAAAACACGAGGCAGCTGCTTCACCAGCTGACTAAACTGCATTCACTCAGTGTAAGAGGATTAAAAAAAGAAAAGTTACATTTAGGTCAATTTCTTGGCGGGGGGGGGCGCAAGATCAAGTAGTGCTAAAGGAAACTACTTTAGCACTCATCCAGGTTATGTTCACATACCTTTTGATGTCTCACTGTTTCTATAATGTGTTCAGAGAAAACTGATCTCAGAGACAGAGAAATGTGTTTTTATTTGGCTTAAGTGGCTTAATTACATAACTCAGAGACTTACAAAGTCATAAAAGCACTCATGCACTCACCAAGATTTTCAAGACCCTTTACTCACCTGATTTGTTCTGTCCCGAGGTGGAAATTGAGCGCCTGAACAAGAACATCTTCAGTGAACGGCAGCTTGTCATTCTTGCGTTGCAGGTCAAAGTGTGCGGAGTTAGAGAGGGCGTGGACACCCGTGTCCGTCCTGCTGGAAACTGACAGGGATACAGGATTGACTGGCCTCAGTCGCTGGATTGCATCCTACACAAAGACGAAAAGATCTTTTTAGATATTAATAGCTTCGGGTTGATAGCCTAGAAAACAAATAACTTTTTTTAAAGCTCACTTTCAAACTTCTGAAGCCACTCACAGCCTTGTCTGCCTCAAATAGTTATCAAACAGAGCTGTGAACAGAGGCATGATGTGACAAGAAAGACTGATCTTTTTTTGCCCTGTAATCTGTGTTTCCTTCTCTCTGTGCTTATTTTTGGGCTTTTTATGCCTTTATTAGAAACAGTAGACAGTAGAGAGCTGACAAGAAAACAAGGAACAGACAGTGATCAAGAAAGACATGCAACAATCCACGAAGCAGCTGGATGTGAAACAGGAACCTTGTTTATGCGTCATATCATAAGTTTGGTGATTGTAGTGCTCAACCCAGGTGTGGAGTGCCACACCAATAAGCTGAACTTCATTATTCGCCCTCTGGAGTCAATGGGCGTGTTGGCACGCCCAAAACAAATGACTGATTTTTGACAACTTAGAAGCACGATGGAGCCTCGCTTAGTCCATGTTTGGAAAGAGCAGAAAGTACGGACTTCAAACTGTATGCCAGGTTTCATTCCTAACAGTGCAGTTATGTGGATTTTATTGACAGTTTGATGCATATAAGTCCTACACCACAAAAACAGATTAAAGCCAACAAATTAACAGTGCTTCTGTTGTGAACACATCTTACTGTAAATAACACAGAAGCTATTTAGATATTTAATGATGTGATAACTATGAAAAATAACACATGTAAAAGCAAAAATGTTCTAAATCACATTTAATGGTATATTTTAGATCATCTCTAAAGATATTTGGGATTCAGGCATTTAGGGTTTGCGCTTATGATCCCAAGGGGTGGATGTAGCTCAGGAGGTAGAGCGGGTCATCTACCAATCTACCAATTGCCTTACCTTTTGCAAGATATTAACCCTAAGTTGCTCTTAGATGCATCCATCGGAGTGTGAATGCTACATAGAAAGGGTGTGAAAGGGAGAATGAGGCGTGTTGTATAAAGTGCTTTGACTGCTCAGGTAGAGTAGAAAAGGACCAGTCCATGACTTAGACCTCAGAGAGTTAGTTTTATTTCTTTATAAGCTTACTGGTGTGGACCTTAACATTAGTCCCATTTTCTCATGTGGATCCTTTGAATCATTTATTGAAACCGCCTTTAATCATCAGACAGCAGTCTGATCATTCTCACTTTTTAGATTTTCAAAAGGCATCGACATAAAGTTGAGATTGTAAAGTTTTTTTTATATATACACGACAAACAAGCCCAGAAAAAAGGATCCAAGTCAGAGATTAATGAAATGCTTATGCATTACACCACATGACGCTGCTTTTGATGAGTGGATCAGAGACCTAGAGGATTTAAGGCCTATAATGAATTACTAAGCTAAGCAGACTCATAAAGTCATGACACAGCTTTTTAAGCCTAACTACATTTAATACTAGCAGCTCAAAGGCAACTTGTCACCTGATTAGCTTTAAGTGAGTTAAAACATACCTCCAAGTGGTCCTGGACCCCTTTCTTCCCCAGCTGATGCGGAGGGACTTTCACTGCTCCACTGCAATAATGATAACAGTGGTGGTATATTCAAAAATAATAATAATAAAATATAACATCTCAGTGTGCCCTGTAACCTACCGGTATTTTGTTCCGATGTACTGAAAAAATATGAGGTAACGAGCCCAGTTGTGCATGTTGACTCGAAATGTCACTGTGCATGTCCCTCGTTTACGAGAGTGGAAAAACTGCAATGCAGAATCATTTCATGGGTCCAGCTGTGACTGATGTCCCTGCAGACTGAACCTCTAGTGAAACGTTCCTGTGCTAGCCAGACACGACCCCTCACCTCCAAGTACCACCGAGAACCCTCTGAAGTGTAGTCCGGAAGTACACTGGAGACAACAGCTGTTAGAATTCTTCTGTTGACATATGAGAGCGCACGTTACTGTGTCACGAGGCTGTAGTACAGTGCAGACCCGATAAAAGAGCTGTTACAAGCGCCGCGTGATAACTAGCAGTGAGACGGCACGTGCACTGTACGACGTTATCCAAGCTGTGACACCTATGTTCAGTGCACGTTACTACACAGCAACATTTCTGGATGTTTGCCTCCTTCCACATTGTAGTACGTCGCATTTTGATTACGTCGCTCCAGCCGCAGAGTCTTCTTGCTCCAGTCATTGAAGCCAGATACTGTACTCACGTTTAGGATTGGTCGACAGCAAGTAGTCAATGTACCGCTAACAAGAGCAAGCGGTTCAGGGCGGAGGGATAAGCAGACGAGTCAAGCAAAAAAAGAAAAAAGTTTAATGTTTAAGATAGATTGGCCATAATTAGTTATATCAAATCTACAATATTATTTTTTGAAGTTGTCCACTTTTTTAGGTGATTTGTAGGTGTCTAATTTATGATAAGGTTAATAAGGTTAGTAAATTTAAGCTCATTCAAAGGCTCACATGTTTACAAACCACTGTTGCTATTTTCTTTAAGTCTATTCTCTGTGCCCCCCAGAGAATACACATGCTTACACATTTTTCACATAGATGATGTTTAAGCTGATGCTAATCATGAGTGAAATATCACATGCTTAAGCCAGTTTTTGTGTTTACAAACACTGTATAGACAAAAGTACAGGACCACCTACACATTACACCCACAGTAGCTTTTAATTCAGTTCAATTCGGTTTTATTTGTATAGCGCAAAATCACAACAGCAGTTGCCTCAAGGTGATTTGCGCTGTTAAGGTAAAGACTCTACATAGACAAATCCCAACAATGATGGGCATACGGAAAGGAAAAATTCACTTTTAACAGGAAGAAACCTCCTGGAGAACCAACAACCAGCCTAAGAGCATAGAGAAAGAAAGAGAGACACTTTAATGATCAAACACAAATTGATGTATAAATACAGAGAATGAAAACATGCCAGTGAAGAAAAAACTTTCAAAGCATCATGGGAAGCCCCCACCAGCTGCTACAGTCTATTGCAGCATATACAAGGTTCAGAGTTCACCCGATACAGTCCGAGCTAAAGTTTAATACAAAAAGGGAAGTTTTAAGACTAATCTTAATATCACAGAGATTACCTGTCTCCTGAATCCTAACTGGGAGAATCCACAGGAGAGGGGCCTGGAAGCTGAAGGCTCTACCTCCCATTCTACTTTAAAAAACTGCTACAACCACAAATAAGCATGCAGTTTGAAAGCAAAGTGCTCTGTTAGGATAAAATGGTACTATGAGGTATTTAATATCTATCTATCTATCTATCTATCTATCTATCTATCTATCTATCTATCTATCTATCTATCTATCTATCTATCTATCTATCTATCTATCTATCTATCTAT